TTCTATTCTATTCTATTCTATTCTATTCTATTCTATTCTATTCTATTTTTTTATTATATATTTTTTTATTTTTGTATACATTTCTTCAAGTGAGCAGTGTAATTCCTGGTTACAACATGCATAAATTTTCATTTCACATTTTCCATTCATTAATCCAATAACAAAAATATTTTATTCTTAAACGTATTTTCTATTCTTTATCCCCTATTATTTTCTTTCCAAGCTTACCACCTATTTTATTTTACATATTTTCTTCTTTTACTTTCTCAAAGCCGATATATAGCAAACAAAAAACAAGAATAAAATAAAACTAATACATTCAGGATCCACATGGTATTGCCCCCCAATCTACTTTAAATCTTATATTTATTCCAGAAATACTCCTATAACCATTTCATACTTCTTCTTTGTTTCCATGTAATCATATTTTACCTATAAGATTTTATTTAATTTTCATTCATCACCTTTAGTCATAGTATAATAATCTCATTACAAATATTTTATTTTGCGATATAGTCATTTCTGGTTTACCATATTTTTTGTTTTTCTAGTATCCTTTGTATAATCAATTGCATTTTCTATTTCATATCTAATATAATATATATAAAAATTAGAAAAGGAAAAAAAAAGAAGGTGCAAGAAAAAGGAAGAAAAAAAAGTAATTCATATTTCCTCTTTGTTCCCATTTAATCAAATTTTACCTATGAAATTATGTTTAATTTTCATTCATCACTTTTTGATCATATCACAATCTCATTACCAATACTTTACAGTATAATCATTTCTATTCTGTTCTGTTCTACTCTACTGTACTCTACTGTACTGTACTGTACTGTACTCTATTCTATTCTTTCCATTCCTCTATTCTATTCTATCCTCATCCAATAAGCTTCTTCATGTCTTCAGAACTGAAGAAGCTTCTTGGATGAGAAGTGAAACAACTTCAAGGAAAAAACAAAATCCAGTTTCCTTTTTAAAAAGTACCTTTGTGACAACCATGACCTGGTTGACAGAATCTCTGCAGACAAAGGAACATTATTGCTTTCGTAGTGAGGAAGTATATAGCAAAGACGGCATTTAGATGCAATGCAGTCAAAGATCAAATAATACCAATTATTTGATAACCCTTTAATAATCATTGATGTAGAGAAAGAAGAAGACAACAAGTTTAACTGTAAAGTCCAATCTGAAATCAACAGAACATCGACGTGCTGCTTATGGCTGTAGATTGTGATGCCAAAGTTGAAAAGAGTAATAAGAAAAACACCGGATGCCTAGAAGAAAAAAAACTTAGCAGAAGAATGATTTGTCAATTTCTGCCAAACCAGTGCTTTCTCTTTTGCTAATATTAATGGTTTCCCTACATGAATAGTGAAAGCTGATGCTTCCTTGCACATAATCAGTCATTGCAAATTTAAACACGATACTTAGCCATATTTGATTGATGGGTTCTGTTCCATCAAGTTGGTTTCGACTCTTAGCGAACACGTGAATAGATTTTCTGCCCCCAATTTGGTCTCTCAAGCCTTCCAGTTGTGCACCCAACTTCTGTGATTGCATCCATCTCTCTTGCTACTGGTGGTTCTCTTCTCTTCTTCTACCTGTCCCAGCATCAGAACCTTCTCTAGAGTCTTTTGCATATTTTGCTGATCCAAAGTAGGATAATTTTTACCTGGTCATATCTACTCCGAGATTAATTTATTCATTGATCTAATAGAATGGAATGGAATGGAACAGAACGGAATAGAACAGAATAACAGAGATGGAAGGGACCATGGAGGTCTTCTAGTTTAACCCCCTGCCCAGGCAGGAAACCCTACACCACTTCAGACAAATGGTTAGTGTTGAGGTAATTCCCCGTTAGGAGAATGAGCGCATACAGGGAGACGTAGTGAGAGAAGTGTTTGAATAATACACACACAGCACACAGAAACACTGTACAGTAAATGTAGGTTTTTAGTTCCAGAAACATTTAAGTAAAGTTCAAACACAGTCCAAAGTCATTCACAGGTTAAATCAATCAGTTTTCAGTCCAGGCATAATCCAATAACAAAGTCCAGTGTCAAAAACAGTTCAGTAACAGACTTACATTAAATCCAAGAATACCAGTCAATTAGGAGGAAAATGGAGGAAAATGGAGGAACGGCAATACTCTCCAACAGAAGGAAACAGAAACTCACTGAGACACACTCTCTTCTGAGACTAATAATAAGACTAACCAACCCAGGTTTCTGGCTCCATCTTATGGCCGTTTGAGAAACCACACCCAATTACACTTTTAGCATTCCCTTAAAGAGGCAGTATTAAAATGTCTATAATATATTAATATATTAATATATTATAGACATTTAATATATTTCCAACCCAAATAGCTGTTAGGTGACTCATATTCCTAACAGTTATCCAATCTCTTCTTAAAAACTTCCAGTGTTGGAGCATTTACAACTTCTGGAGGGAAAGATGTTCTACTGAATAATTGTTTGGACTGTCAGGAAATTTCTCCTTAGTTCTAGGTTGCATCTCTCCTTCATTAGTTTCCACCCATTGCTTCTTGTACTGCCCTCAGGTGCTTTGGAAAATAGCTTGACTCTCTCTTCTTTGTGGAAACCCCTGAGTTATGGGAACATTGCTATCATGCCACCCCTAGTCCTTCTTTTCATTAAACTAGACATACCCAGTTTCAGCAACCGTTCTTTATATGTTTTATAGTCCCCTAATCATCTTTGTTGCTCTTATCTAGATAATGATACTAGAGAAAATAATAGAACTTGGTTATGGTTTGCTTAGGCAGTGGTTTGCTTATGACTTATTTAACATGTGTACACAGACTGCATCTGTGCTTGATGATCAGAAAAGTGCTGATATTATTCCCCTATTCAGAGACCAAAAAAAAGTAGCCAGAGCGAATACTACTAACTAGAGCATACAAAACATTTGCTAGACCAATACTTGAATACAGCTCATCAGTCTGGAACCTGCATTACGTATCTGATATTAATACAGTTGAGAAAGTCCAGAAACATTTCACAAGAAGAGTTCTCCACTCCTCTACTCGTTGCAGAATACCTTATGTCACCAGACTTGAAATTCTAGATCTAGAAAACTTAGAAATACGCCACCTTCAATCCAATCTAAGTATAGTATATAAAATTATATATTGCAATGTCCTACCTGTCAATGAATACTTCGGTTTCAACCATAACAATACAAGAGTGCACAATAGATACAAACTCAAGGTAAACCGCACTAAACTTGATTGCAGGAAATACGACTTCAGCAACAGAGTGGTCATTGTCTGGCACACTCTACCCGACTCCGTGGTTTCTTTCCCAAACCCCAAAAACTTTAACCTTGGACTGTCTACTATTGGCCTCACCCCTTTCCTAAGAGGTCTGTAGGGGACGTGCATAAGCGCACCAACGTGCCTATCGTCCCTGTCCTATTGTTTCTTTTTAATTTTCTTGTATGTATCCATTTCATGTAATCATAACTATGTTATACTTATACATGTTATCTTATAATCACTTGACAAAATAAATAAATAAATAAATAAAAAATAGTTTGCCCAGTGCATCTAGGCAGGGATTTGGCTGAATTCAGATTGCAAGGGTACGAAAGGTGACAGTGAGCAAAATTTGGAATTGCAGTAAAGCTTTGTGCCATGAAGATAGGCATTTAATCCAGTTTTCTTCTCTTAGATGATCATGGAGAAATGCAGGTCTATAAAAAAGAAAGTTTATTGTATATTTATTGATTTAGAGCAGGGGTGTCTAACTCAAGGCCCGGGGCCAGATCTGGTCCATGGATCACGGTCCACGGTGCTTCTGCCAGCAAAAACGGGCTCCCAAGCTCCGTTTTCTCTGGCAGAGGGTTGCAGAAGCAGAAAATGGAGCTCGGGAACCTGTTTTCGCTGGCAGAAGCACGCTCGGGCCACCATCAGCACCCGTGACAGAAGTGATGTCGAGCTGGCCACACCCACTCTGGCCACGCCCATCCCTGCACCTCGAAGTCAAACACAACCTTGATGCAGCTCTCAATGAAATTGAGTTTTGACACCCCTGACTTAAAGCTAGTGTATGGTAACGTATATAGCCTAAAGCAGCAGAATACGGATGTTGAAAGTTGCTTGCCAAATACAGTCACAGCACTGGATGATGGAAGGAAAGCAGGCATGAGAATAATTGAATGCTTCAGGAACGCTTCAGCATTGAACAGGAGGTAAGATAAAGATGTGTGAAAGGAGACATCTTTCATTTTTAATGTGTAAAGAGTGCTTATGATGATGCTATAAGCAGGTTGATTAGAGATGTGAATTAATATGCAGAAGATGTTCTGTTGGATGAGATCCTGAATGATTTGCAGCAAATGTCAAATAAATTGCATTGTGTTTCAGAGGGAAAATGAATAATTGGCAAAACGAGCAAATGAAATTTGTACCTTAGTAGTATGCTTAATTTCTTTCTTTTTTTCCCTTCCATTCAACAGTGTTCGATTCTCAGAGATTGCCTGGGAGGTTTTTTTTTCAGAAGTAGTTTATCATTGTTGGTTGCCTAGGGTTGAAAAAAGATGATTGGCCAAAGGTCAACCAGCTACCTTTGTGCCCAAGGCAGGTCTAGAATTCATGGTCTCCCTGTCAACCCTGAAGCTGACCTGACTGAAGCCATCTTGACAACTTCAGTGTTATCATACTGGAGCTGGAGGATAAGGATTTGAGATAGCTGGGATTTTGAAGCCTAAACAAAATACTTTCTCTTGGGAACCAAGGACATTCTCACACCTGGGCAGAGGAAGGCAAAGTGATGTCACCAGGCAACCAGACAGAGCCATGATTGGACCACGTGACTGATTGTTTTGATGAAATTTTACTTTTAATTGGGTGAAAACCATGGGAACCTTCGGAGTTGGTTTTCACCAGATCTCTGCCAATTTGATATATCCAATAAAGCTATTCTTTGAGGAATCTACCTACCTTGGAGTTTTGCTTGCTAAGGGTCTATTACTCAGAACCCTGACAGTCCCATTTCTATCCTGATGCCTTAACTACATCGGCCAAACAGGCTGTCAATACAAGTAGTCCCTGATTTTTGACCACATCTGAGCCTAAAGTGTTTGTTACTGAGACAGTAGTTAAGTGAACTTTGCCCCATTTTATAACCTTCCTTGACACAGTTGTTAAGGGAATCATTGCAGTTGTTAAAGGAGTAACACCATTGTTAAGTGAATTTGGCTTTCCCATTGACTTTGCTCGTCAGAAGATTACAAAAGGTCATCACACGACCCTGGGACCCTGCAACCGTCATAAATATGAGTCAGTTGTCAAGGATCTGAATTTGGATCATGTGACTATGGCGGCTGCAGTGGTTATAAGGGTGAAAAATGGTCATTAGACACTGTTTTTCAAGGCCGTTATAACTTCAAATGGTCACTAATCAAACTGTTGTAATCCTTGACTTATGGTCACAATTGGGACCAGAATTTTTGTTGCTAAGCAAGGTGGTTGTTAAGGGAGTGAGGTCTGACCTTATGACTTCTGTGGCCACGGTTGTTAAGCAAATCCAAGGTTCTTCTATTGACTGTCAACCCTGAAGTTGTCTGAACTGCGGCCATTTTCTTTTTGTAGTTTTCTCGAGAGAGTTTCTTCTTCTCCCTGCTTCAGAGCTGACACAGCCTGGAGTAAGGGGCCGGGGGTGTGTATGTGCAGAGATAGCTGGGCTTCTTTCCCCTGGGAATCAAGGATGTTGGTAGAGGTGTTCGAAGGGTGGAGACTCAGATCACCTAGCAACTGAGCTGTATGCGGATTGGACCATGTGACTGGAGACTCTGAGGGGAAAGTGACAAAATTTTATCTTTAATTGAGTGAAAAATCGGCTGCTAGTTAGAGCCAGTTTTCCAGCAGGAATATGCCAATTTGATATGTCCTAATAAAATGCTCTTTGACGAAATTGCCTGACTCAGAGTTCTTATTGAATGGGATATATTATTTGGAACCCTGACATTGACTTTGCTCGCCGGAGGCCAGCTAAGAAGGTCACAAATGATGAGGATTTCTTAGGATGCTCTCTCATTACATACACATGACAGGTGTCAACTCATAAAGCGTTCCTATGCCTGTTTTACAGTTGCCATAAACAAGTGGAGGGGCGAGAGGAAATCTGAAGGATTAAAACCAGAAGTACATTCCACATTTATCTTACAAAGATTGTAACTATGCTACCAAATCTTCTGCCCCGCCCCCCAAATCCTTAATTGGAGAATGTGATTGATGATACCCAGATCAGATCGATGATTGGTGAAGGTGCTTCACTGGAGAATCTGATTTATGATACACCCAGGGGGGGAAGGAGGAAACAGGATCACGGGTGTCTGTAAATTACGTTTGGCTTCATACAGGCGAATGCCCGATGTGTTGCTCCTAATAAATCTTCTGGATTCTTTTGAAGCTTGGCTTGAGGCTCATGATTTAATTAGGACAATCGCTGGAATCCTGACAGACAGTTTTTAAGCATCTGAATTTTGATGACACGACCATGGGATGCTACAACTGTCATAAGTGTGAAGACAAGTGCAAGTCACTTTTTCCAGTGCTGTCATAACTTTGAACAGCCACTAAACAAATAGTTGTTACTTGAGGCCCTGTGCTAAGTAAAGTTGGGAATGTAAATGAGTTTTAAAAGCTGGTGAAAAGCTAGTGAGTGGCGTGTTGTTTTTTTTGAGACAAGGAATGAATGGATGCTTGTGAAGAGACACGAAATGGATCGCTTCTCCCCACTTTGTGACGCGGAAGTGAGAAACACATTAGGAGAAACATCGAAAGAGGTTGAAGGCCGTAGGAGTGGGCGCCCAATGCCCTGGAGATGTAGACAGACACAGTCACAGTCCTGAGCTCAACATGCATGGCAGAAACAGTGATTCATTCTGTCTGAATGGGATGCTGGTAGAGTCGCTGCATTTGGCACAGCTATTTTGAGAGCATGGCAATATCTGAAAAAATATGGTTCCCATGATAGCCTGTTTACAAACCCTGTTTAACATTGCTTTTGCCTGGATCACTGCAATGCTTAATTGCCAGAAAGACATTACAGAGCCTGGACTTCTTCTGCCATTATATTTCAGCGTGGCCAATAAAAGAGGGTGGAATTTTTTGCAGAATACTGGCATAAATTTCTCCAATGACTTTTTCTTCAAAGAAAAAAAAATATTCTCATATGTAAAACCCACTTTACCCAATGGGCAATTACTTTGTGCCTCCTTATGAACAATCCCACCGGGCTCAAGGTCAACTAAACCTTCCATCCTTCCGAGGTCGGTAAAATGAAGACTCAGATTATTGGGGGCAATATGCTGACTCTGTAAACCACTTAGAGAGGAATGTAAAGCACTGTGAAACGATGTATAGATTACAGATTAATAGAGTTAGAAGGGACCTTGTAGATCATCTAGTCCAACCCCAACCCAAGCAGGAGACCTTACACCATTTCTGACAGATGGCAGCCCACTCTCTTCTTGAAAGCTTCCAGAGAATGGTATCCAAAAAACTGGTTTGAGCAACATTGTTTGTTTATTTTGAAATTCTGATTGAATATGAATGTGTTGGTTGAATTCCTACAATATACTAAACCCCAAATCTGATTTACCTAAGCTACAGGTGGTCCTTGACTTACAACCATTTGTTTCATGATCGTTTAAAGTTACAACGGTACTGAAAAAAGTGATGTATGACCATATTTCAATGACCTTTCCAGCATCCCCACAGCCACATGATCAAAATTTGGGCAACTGGCATGTATTTATGACGGTTGCGGTGTCTTCTGGGTCATTTGATCACCTTTTATGACCTTCTGACAAGCCAAATCAATGGGGAAGCCAGATTCACTTAACAACCGCATTACTAACTTAACAACTGCAGTGACTGACTTAACAACTGTGACAGGAAAGGTTGTAAAATGAGACAAAAACATCTGTCTTAGCAGTAGAAATCTGGAGCTCAACTGTGGTCATACGTTGACCACTACCTGTATTGGCATGCTCCACCGAAACAAGTAAACTCTGTTTTGGTATAACAGGATGCCCTGGTTCATACAATTTGCAAAGAGTGTTGGGTTTCCTCAGAACAGTGAACCACAAACCACCCAATTTTACTGAAGATTGATGACAGCGTTGCAAGATAGTGTCAACTCATAAAATATTTCTATGGTCTTTTTGGAATTGCCAACAGAAAGGGAGGGGGAGAAAGGGGTTTGAAAGAGCAGTGCGGCAGCTTGGAAATCAAAAATGTATTCCATAAATAGTTTTTCAAAGATAGTAACTAGGTAACTGAACTTTCTACCATGCAAATGTCTAACTGGAGAACATGATTGATGACTCTTGGCTATGGACCTGTCCAGTAGTAGGATTCAAAAGTTTTTACTACCAGTTCTGTGGGCATAGCTTGGTGAGCGTGGTGTGGCTTGGTGGGCATGGCAGGGGAAGGTTACTGCAAAATCCGCATTCCCTCCCCACCCCACTAACCTGCTTTCCAGTTCCATTCTCCTGTGCAGGGCAATGAAAGAAAACCCAGCCGATCAGCTGGGACTTGGGAGGCATTCAAAAGATAGGGGCAGGGCCAGTCAGAAGTGGTATTTATCCGTTCTCCGAACTACTCAAAATTTCCGCTACCGGTCCTCTGGATGTATCTCATTGGAGAATATGAATTATGCTACACACAGGGGGTGGGGTGGGGAAACCCCAGGGTCAAAGGTGACAGTGAATTATGTGTCTCAGAGTCGGCTACTTCCAGGCAGTGCCAGAAATGTTAATTCCCAATAAATCCTTTTGAAGTTTTGGATGTTAGGCTCAAGAGTCATGATTTAATTGGGGTAACTGCCGGAATCCTGACAGGGAAAATGCAAAATATAATACAAATATAGTTCGTTGTGGAAGTGACTGCCTGTGAAGGCTCCTGGATTGGGGCTGAAAGGCAAAAGCAGAAGAATATGCTCCATCCTATATTTGAGTAGACCAGGTTGCCCTGATAAATAAATAAATAAATAAAAACATAGTCCAGGCAAGAAGCACACTGAGAAACAATAGCTCTATCTTTTTCTATGGCGCTTCTCAGTCATCCAGGTTGTGGTTGTCCCAAAGGTGCTGTTTCAGAAGGCACCTGGACTTTCTTGTTTTTTCTTTGAAGACATTTTGCTTCTCATCCAGAGAAGCTTCTTCAGCTCTGACTGGATGGTGGAAAATGGAAGGATTTATATACCTTGAAGACAGTTGGTCATTTGCATTCTTTTAGAGAGTTGTTGAGGCCATTTGGAGCTTTGTCTGTGTCCTCAGGGTCACCTGAGTAGTGCAAATGGGTGTGGAGCCTTCTTGGAACTGCTGAAAGGACTGTATTGTGGAGCTGTGCTTTCTGCAGTATATTTATCTCTGCCTGTGTTCCTCTATCTTTGCTATATGGTTACCTTAATAGAATCTTGCAAATCTGAAAGTATACTTCCCATCCCCTACATTTACTCTATCAAACCTAAGGAGAGTTCCTTCTGAGAGTACTTTCACCACCCCCTCCTCCATAGGATTCATATTTCGTTTATCAAAGGGTTATTTATGCTGTAGTTCTTCCCCTTGTCTCCCAAGGTCATTCACACATACCATTATAAAATGTGTGCCAGTGTAGAACTCCCAGTGGATAGTGTGATGGCTCAGCGGTTACAACACTGGGCTTGTTGGCTTAAAAAGCCTGCAGCCCAGGTTTGAGACCCAGGCAACACTGATGGGGTGAGCTCCTCTTCACACCTCAAGTCTTTCCAACTTAGCAGTTTGAAAGCATGAAAGTGCAAGTAGATAAATAGGTACCACTTCAGTAAGAAGGTAACAGTGCTCCATGATGTCATGTTTGTCACATGACCTCAGCAATGTCTTCAGACATAGCTGGCTCAATAGC